TTATTTTGATAATATTAGAAACTTTGACACCCTAAAGTATTAACTAGATTTTTAAAATGTTCTTGCTTGTTGATTTAAAAAATGTGTATTGTTTTAAACTTCCACTGCTTCCCATCATTTTGTTTGTTTTTAAAAAACAGGCTGTCTTTTAGCAGGTTGTTCACAATGCTTAGTTTTTGGTTACATGTATATCATTTGTTAGGTAAAGATCAAGAGAGTCAAGACATTTAATTTGATTTAATGCTTTTTCAGATTTGATGTTGATCCTTACTAAATTTATCTACTACTTCTATTATCTACTTATCTACTAGTTTTACTACTACTACTACTCTACCAGTTTTATTCTTCTAGTTTTACTACTACTACTATCTACTACTACTTATCTACTAGTTTTACTAAAGAAATAAATAATTCACGTTAAATACAGTTTTCATTAAATATTTTTAATAATTTTAATTAATTTTAAAGTAATTAATACCATTGCATCATTACCATATATTTTTTTAAAGTCAATTCAAAGATATGGAAGTTGGCAATGTTAATTTTATGACATAATATGCATTACACAAACACAAATGCATAACAAAAGCCTGCATTGTATTTTACATGATTATGTTTTAATTTTTTTAGGAGTTTAGTAAGTGCTTCACAAGATGGCAAGCTAATTGTTTGGGATTCATATACAACAAATAAGGTTTGTTATTTAGCATACAGTTTATTTTATATACAAATTCAAATCTTTTTTGTTTTTTTTTTTTTTTTCTGTCTCTAAGCAACCAACTTTTTTGTGCCACCCATTAAATCAGGAAACTAATGTGAATCAAGAAACAAGTTTACAAATTAAAAAAAAAGTATTTGAAACTTTAATAAATAAATACTATAACTTGCATTATGTTTAAAATAAATATAAATTTTGAATATTGCTATACAAAGTATTAAAATATGTTATCATTTTATAACCAGTTATAAAACTTTCTTTTATTATTCCATTGCTTTTATAATTTGCAAAATTATAAAAGCAATGGAATAATAAAAAAAAGTTTTTTTATTATTCCATTGCTTTTAAAAATTTTTTTATTATCCCATTACTTTTAAAAAAAATTTTATACGTTTAGAAAATTTTATTATAATGGTTAAATATTCATATTATTTGAGAGTAATATCAAGCAAAAATAAGAATCAGATTAATACATAGATTTTATCTGAATATTTTTTAATAATTTTGTAAATTTATTTTATTAAACATTAAACTTTAATATATACCTCTTTAGTTTGTAGTGATTTTTATATTAGTGACCATGTCCACGTAATATTTCTTTAAAATTAAGGCATTTAAGTTTGTTGTATGGTTACACACATGCAGTGAATGATGAAGTAAGAATAGAGAGCACATTAGCATGCCTTCTCAGGAGACGTGTGCAGTCACACACATGACTATACATATAATATTTTATTTTTACAACTTGGCCACAGCTTCTTGCATGTTTTAAGTTTGCATGTTTATAAAATTCACTTAAACAAATGTAAACTAAAACTAAAAATAACTATAAACTGAAAAGAGAAACAAAAATTAAGAAAAAATAAATACAAAACTAAATTTGAAAAATTAAAATCTTAAATGATAAAATGGAAGTTTCTAAGTTAGAACTTAGAAACTTCCATTTTTTCTTAATTCCTTGTAGTGAAACACTTTTAAATTAAAATAAAAACATTAATTTTGTGCTTATTTTTTCTGGTTTGTCTTTTACTCATTTTATCATTTAAGATTTTAATTTTTCAAATTTAGTTTTGTATTTATTTTTTATTCCAAGCTTAATCATTAAAAAATTTGAAACTTTGATATTTTCTAATGTCTACTAAAATATTTTTAAAAATGATCTGTTATAAAGGTTTGAACCCTCATCCGATGCTGATACAATAATTGAGACATTCTTAAATGACACATTTAATCAACCTAAGCGCTACATCAACATGGCAATATAGGAAATTATTAGCTGTAAACTATAAATCAAAACACTTTTAAATTAAAAATTATATTAGCTTTATGCTTTTATTTTCTCTGGTTTATCCTTTATTTATTATTAGGTTTTTTTTTCTTTTCAATTTCAATCGTTTGTTTATTTTTAATTTTCTTTTTTTTTTTTGTCTGGTTTTTTCAGCGCATTTTTTAAAACACGCAAGTTATCAATATATGCAAAAAGCTATGGTTAAGTTGTTTAAAAAAAGTGTATGTGTGGTCATATAAGGCATGCAATAGCATGTCTTCTGAGAAGGCTTGGTTAGCAAGGAGAATTAGTTTTTATCATTGCAAATTTAGATTAGTCCAGACAAACAGAAGAGCGATATTATATTAATTTAAAATATAATCAGAAGAGCAATATTATATTAATTTAAAATATAATCTGGAATTATTTATAGTTTTTAAATTCTCAGTTATTAAAAACAGTGAACTCTGTTATAGAAAGGTAAATTAACTGGAGTTTATTTTATTGCAAAAATTTCAAAAAAAAAATCAAAGCAAATTAAGGACTTCATTGGTAACGAGTATTATTACATAAACTCCTAACCTCCATGCAAAGTTTATTGTTTGTTTAAACAATAAGTTAAATAAGGATTATAAACACACAAAAAAACTTAAGTAATTATTATATCCTTGTTTTGATTTTAAAAAAATAACAAACTGTTATTAAAAATTTAGAAATGGTTACAAAACATAAATTTTTAATAACAGACCATTTTGAAATCCAGAAAATAACTGTTATTTTAAAAATCAATCAATAAAAAGTTATTAAAGTTTTGAGTATTAAATGAAACATTTAAATGCATATAATGGTCACAGTGGACCAGAGAGACCGCCAGGTTTTATGTCGTGTCAATTAAACGAAACTTTTTTTATTTATTAGTATTTATTTTATAATAATAGAAAAAGTTGTTTTTAAAATCTAAACCAAGTGCTAAGGGTCCCAAATGGGGCAAAAGGGAAGATTGAGGGGCCCCAAACCCATTTAAGATTTTTTTTTAATTTTATTTTTTTTTTTTCTCTCACTGAATTCATTTTAGAAGTTTAGATTTGTAAAATTATTTAAAATTTATTATCTTTCATTAGTCAGGTACAGTGCCCCTAGAATCTAGTAAAAAATATAAAATTCTTATTTTTTTATTTATTTATCAATCTTTATTTTTTAATTTAAATGAATTGAATAAAATTTAAAACAATAAAATGACTAATATTTACAAATACTACTGACATATGGAACATAAAGCACCTAAACATTACTAACTCTTCTTCCGTTAAAATCAATAACAGAAGAGAGGAGTCTTCCACCATATTCTGTTTGCAACTTGTCGTTTGAACCTGTTCCACGTTGGTTTGAATTTTGAGTGAACTGATTCTCCACATTGTTCAGCAAACTTAGACAAACCACATTTGTGATGTTCAACAAAAGGTTGCACATGACACAAAAGTATATGTACTTTCCAACTAATTGAAAGTTTTTTTCCGAGAATATCTGCAATTTCTTGAGCAGATAAAAAGGAGTTCTTAAATTTTAGAATGGCTTGCTGATGCCCAAGCTCAAGTGTTCTACCAAAGCAAGAGTCTTTAACAATCTTCAAGTCTTTTAAACATTGAACAATTGGCAGAAGATCAGGATATTCATACAAAACAACTCTTTCCAACTCATCAACACACTTTAGTATCTGGTTTGAATTATTCCCATCCCAACCTCTACCTTGATATCCTCTTTGTAGAACACCACTATTTTTCAAAAAAATATCAAAACCTGGCCAAAGATCCAATAATAAACACCCCAGTGTTGTTACTATTCCTATCAGGATATGTAATTCAGGGGGAGGTACTAAATGTTGGATTAGTGTATCTGGATCTTCATCGAGGTAGAGAATTCTTGGATATATTACATTCATAAAATGTTGCATATTAGACTTCTTTGAACTATTTTCTACAGTGTATCTTTGATACCAATAGTCAAGGCTTCCAAGTGTTCGCAGTTTACCACGAACTTCACTTGAGTCTCCTTCACACCAAAGACAAGCTTTTTTACCTGCATGGCTTGATATTCCAAAAACTGCATTAGCACATTTCAAATCAAAAGCTGCTGAAAACTTAACATCTTGTAAATTGAGTTTCTTTAAAATTATTCTTAAATTGAAGTTAGATTCTTGCACATCTTCAACTATGGAGAGGATTTGGCATCGTTGAACACCACTATTTAAGTATAAATTTGAAGTAGTATTTTCATTAACATCGAAAACATTTACAATGACCTTCATGAAACCACCTCCTGCATCCATAGAAATACGAACAAATGCTGACTGGGGATCAAGACAACGTTGAATAATTAAATCAAGAATAAAACTAGACGTGTCTTGAACAAAAACAAGGTCTTTTATAGAAGTGCCACCGGTACTATCAAAGAAGTTGACCTGAAAAATAACAATAAATTTTTGAAAAACTTTTAATGCTATAATTAATTTTCAATACTAAAAGATATAATTGCCACCTTTTCTACTTGATAAAAATACGATAAAGACTCTTCTAAGTCACTCATTTTTCCAAAAATGTTGTTTTCTACAGCCAACTTACTTCCCATTCTTTTTCGAAGAGTAGATATCAATAGCCCCGTTTTATTAAGGGAAAGTTCTAAAACTATTTGAAGTTCTTTAATCATCTGAAGAGATACTTGTTTAACTGACCTAGGTATAAATGAACAAAATATTAATATCTTATCATTTGATAAATATGTACTCAACAGTATATATGTACCTTCTATTTGCTTTGTTATCAGGACATCCAACTGTAATCATCAATGGGTTTCCACCAGAAGACAAAATAAATTGTTCCCCTTTCGCAATTTCGTCAGTCTCCATTTTTGCTTTTATTATACCAGATGCAACTTGCTCTGCTTGTTAATTTCCTAGACTTAATGCTAATAAGATCAGGTTCTCTACTGCAGATAAAGAAGAGCAGTTGTGTAAATATCCTTTTGCAATAGTTGAAAAGCATATACTACATAATTTGGAAGACATACTTGAGTTTGATATATTAGGAACTTCCTCGGTTTGAATTGTTGAAGATGAAGCTGTTCTTGTCATCATCCTCCATTCAATCTTGAATAAATTATATATAATATATATATATATATATATATATATATATATATATATATATATATATATATATATATATATATATATATATATATATATAATATATAATATATATATATATATATATATATATATTATTATTATTATTATTATTATTATTATATGTATATATATATATATGTTATTATTATTATTATATATATATATATATATATATATATATATATATAATAATAATAATAATAATAATAATAATAATAATATTAATAATAATAATAATATTAATAATAATAATAATAACATATATATATATACATATATGATAATAATAATAACATATATATATATATATATATATATATATATATATATATATATATATATAAATAAATTAAATGGACTTGATATTTTGTTCAATATTTACATACTTTGGCAATCTTTTCTCCCCATGAACCTCGAGGAGGTTTTCCAGCTTTTAGTAGGTAGAGATTTCTCTGACATCCAGAACATATAACATTAGGATAGCTGCACACATCCAGAGAATATCCTGGATAAACAAACAACTTCATCAGTTCTTCTACCGTTGAATTTACACTAATTAAAGATTTAGACCTGGCTCCAAACATTTTCCAACAACAGCAGCACACAGCATTTCGTTGAAAAGCAATATTATCCATTTAAACAAGTTAAAAAAAAACTAACAATCCTCTATTTTTTATAATCTGCAATATAAGATATTAAACTATTGGATTATTATATATATATATATATATATATATATATATATATATATATATATATATATATATATATATATATATATATATATATATATATATATAATGCTTTTATAATATTTGACAAACTTTATAGAAGCACAATATCCACATATAAGTCAATAATTATGCCATCTTTTATGCGATTATTTAAACTTCTTTATATAATCGCGCACCCTGGATTTTATTTGCTATGCAAAAGAATTACATTTTTAATGTTGCTTAACTTGTTATTGTTAGTTAAGGTTTCTTTATAAACAAAAATTTATGTCTACTATTATTTCCATCATTTAAAGAATATCAGCTTCTAAATATCTTATTTATAATAATAAGACGAACATTTTACAGCAATTAGAAATTAATGATAATAAAAACCAGTTCTTTCAAACGTCATAAATAGTTACTTTTTTTCCGTTAAATTGTTAAAGGCGCAAAAAGGAATTTTTAAAAAAATGTTTGTTTTTTACATTTTAATACATATATTTTTAATTTCAAATGTAAAATAGACCACTTGGAAGAAACTTTCAGACCTATGTTTTTATATGATTTCAAATCAGTATAATATTTTCGATCATAATCAATCATAAAAATAGTGGGTGTAAAACTACTTTAATACCCTATTTTGCCCCATTTGGGACCCTTAGCACTTGGTTTAGATTTTAAAAACAACTTTTTCTATTATTATAAAATAAATATAATTAAATAAAAAAAATTTCGTTTAATTGACACGACATAAAACCTGGCGGTCTCTCTGGTCCACTGTGTGGTAAATCAGGATTTTTATTAATCCATGTGTGTATAATGGTAATGTTTATCCCATAAAAATTATTTTTTCCTTTTTTTTTTTTCTATGATTTTCACTGTTTGTTATGTTAAATGTACATAATAATTACATAATTTTTTTTTTTAATATTACAATGTGCTGTTTGGTTTATTTTTCTAGTTTTATCTAATATTTTTAAAATAAATTCAACTGCTTAAGTTTATTCCATTAAAATCCCTGCTAGAGGTTTTAAAGAGACAACAACTTTTTGAGAATCAAGTTATTGTATTTTAGCTATTCAGTTAAGCTAATCTAGCATAGTGTTGAATTTTCTGAAATTTGTTGATGCTATTAAACTTTTCAATAGATTTTATAAAAATAGTTTTATCAAATATATTTATATAAATTTATGTTGTATATTTTAATTTAGGTACATGCTATTCCACTTCGATCCAGTTGGGTTATGACATGTGCATACGCTCAGTCTGGAAATTATGTTGCTTGTGGTGGCCTTGACAATATATGTTCAATATATAGTTTAAAAACTAGAGAAGGAAATGTCAGAGTAAGTCGAGAGTTACCTGGTCACACAGGTTAGTATTTTGCTCATATTTTATTTAGCTAATTATATACTTCATAAAAATGCTGTATGCCAAGTTTTCAATCTTTTTTTTTTTTGCTTTAGGTTATTTATCTTGTTGCAGATTTTTAGATGATACTCAAATTTTAACAAGTTCTGGAGATACAACTTGGTAATTATAGGCTATAAAATTTTATTTTGCAATATTATTTTCAAAAGTAAATTAAGTTGTTTAATAAGGAGAAAAGAAATGGATAAAAATTAATATAACGTTTTGAAATATGTATATTTTATCAATATTTTAGTTGTTTGTGGGACATTGAAACTGGACAACAGCTAACCTCATTTATTGGTCATACTGGCGATGTTATGAGTCTATCTCTTTGCAATGATGGCGGGCGTACATTTGTATCAGGAGCATGTGATGCATCTGCAAAGGTCTTTGCTGCTTATCTTTGTGTGTGTGTGTATATATATATATATATATATATATATATATATATATATATATATATATATATATATATATATATATACACTGTGTGTGTTAATGTGATGTTTTAATAATTATAATAAATAATTTATGATTATATTAAGATATAATATATAGATATAACATACTTAAACAGCATGGAAAATAAGGAACAAGCATTCAATTTGACTGGCTAACACATGGGATTGACAGTCAATCAGGGGTGTACCCTCATGGTCATCCGATGGCGTGGGATATTAACTCCAAGGAAGATAAAATGCCTGTCAGTAGCTTAGCAGGATAACCAAACATTTAGTTACAAAAGTGTTTATTGATAAAGCCATATTTTGATCTATAAAGATTTTATTCCTTGGGATTACTTAAAAGAAAACTTTTAAAATAGTATAGACTTTGTTTAATAATGAATACGCTACAGTGCATTATATAATTTTACTTAAATAAAAAGAAGCCAACATGCGATTTAATATTTTGAAATGTGATTCAGGGTTCTCCTTAAAAACCTTAAATATCCTTAATTAAAGTCCTCCTTAAAAACCTTAAATATCCTTCTCCTTAAAAACTCTAAATATATTTAAATAAAAAAAAACCTCCCTAAAAGTCTTTAAATAACCTTTAAAAAAGGTAATATTTGACTGCTCTCCTTAATTTCTCCTTTTTATTTTTTAATTATCTAGGAAATTTATTTAAGTGAATGGATTATACTTATTAATAAAGAAGCAAATATATAATTCTTTGATAGTTTGCAAACCTATACTTCAATTTTATATATATATATATATATTTTTTCCTTTTTTTTTTTTTTTTTTTTTTTTTTTTTTTTTTTTTTTTTTTTTTTTTGAAGCAAATATCTTCTCAAATTAAAATTAGTTTTTCTTTCAATTCCAAATGCTAAGGTATCATTTTTTAAATCTTAAAGTCTTAAAGTTGCATTTGAATCACATGAATGCGCAGTTAAATCATTAATAACACTGTATCTCTTTTGTTTTTCATCAGTAAAATAAATTTTTATTTTAACCCTGTCAAACAAAATTAACAAAATAAAAAACATTAGGATTCATGTAAAAAATCATTATTAGAATGCAATTAATGATGCATGTAGAAATTTTTTCTTAAAAAAAAAAGTCTTATGAAAATGTTTAGAACATTAAAAACATAATGTTAAAAACATTTAACTAAATTAACTTTGATTGCAGATTGACAGAGAGTAATAAAATATTTTTTGTTTTATAAAACAATTCTTTGCAGTTTTGGCTTTAAACTTTTTTGCTTCAAGTAATGAAAGCTTTGTTAAGATTGACTTGAAGAAATGACACAACAGATATCGACTTATTTATTAAATATTATTATATACAAAAATATTATTATATACAAATATTATTATATACAAAATTATTATTATATACAAATATTATTATTATATAAAAATATTATTATATACAAATATTATTATATACAAATATTATTATATACATAAATAACGATCGTTAAAAGTTGTATTTATAGTCATCTCTTTACTGATATCGCTTTGTAACTTAATAAAGTAACGCTTTGTAACTTACTTAACAAAGTAACAAAGTTACTTAACAAAGTAACTAAAGTTACTTAGCAATATTTTTTAACAGGTTATAGAGTTTTACTTTTTTTTTATTAATTAATTTACTTTTAATTAAACATTTCTTAGTTGATGTATTTTTGTAGCCAGACGTTTTTGATTTTTTTCTCCAGTTTTTTCACCTGAGCAAAAATACCTAATAATACCATATTACTGATTATCATAGCGGGCGACTCAAATAAGAAATAAAAGTTATTTCAGTCGCCTGCAGGATGACCAGGAAAAAACTCTTGTCAATTGTATATATTTTTTTTGACAGTAAAAATTTTATATTTTGTTTTAATTTTTATCTTAGTAATAGTTCTTTAAGACTGAAACTTCAACACACAAATACAACGTAATGTTTGAAAATTAATGAATGTAATGTTAAATACATGAAATAATACATGAAAATTAATGAACTATTCTTTTAAAAATAATAATTTTAAATAAAATTGCATTTTTAAAATTTAAACTTGCATCTTACTAATTTACCTGCCAAAATTAGTAACATGTAAGTTTAAATTTTAAAAAAATACCTGCGAATAGTAATAGTTTAAAATAACTCTAGCGCGCACAGATTTTCATTCTATTAAAAAATAAGTTTGCTAACATCCGTTTAATGTCAAAAAAAAATTTATAAATACCAAAACAAATCATATAAAATATTTAAAAATTTAAACTAAATACTTGATACTAAAAAAAATTGTTTTATGAATTGCTACTGAAAAATGAAAATGTTGTTTGTTTCTTTTTATTTGTTCATTAAGATTTATTAAGGTGTTATTATTTCATTAAGATGATATTATTACAATTTTATATTAGAAAGAAAAAAATTTGCCAACATGCAATTTATAATTTTAAATTTATTTAAAAATAAATTTATTGCAATTACTTCACATTGTCAAGAAAAAGCTACAAATAAATAAAAATAAAATATATGAATAGATAGAATGAACATAAATGAATTAAATTGCAGTTGGAAGAGAAATTGTTTTAAGTTACATACAAAAATTTAAATAATAATTTTATCTCTGATTTTAATGAGCAGAAATATAAAATAACTTTTTATCTTTGTTTATTAAAATTAATAAAGTTATTTAAACTTGAGACTTTGTACTAATTCGTTTTATAATTGTTATATAATCATTTATGAAACACTACATAATAGGAGGTTTTACAAAATATCTATTTTTTTAAGAATCCTGTTATAGAAAATTTAAATTTATCTATAATTTATTCATTCGTTTATTACATTTGCAATAAAAACTTTTAAGAAATAAAAAGAATTCAAGAAAAAAAAAAGTGAAGAACTGCAGTTAAATGAAAAAAAATTTAAATGCTTTTTTAAAATAGTTCTATGAAATTTTAGTATATGCATTTTCTCAATTACATCATGATTATTTGTAAAACCTAGTTTTTAAGAAATCTGATTTTTTTTTTTTCAACTAGTCAAACATGGCTGGCAAGAATTCATTTTGGGAGGTCAAAATAGCAATTTTAATCGTTTCAGACGGTAGTTGACCGGCTGTTAATTTGCACGCTGCTTAAATAAATATAGTTATACTTTATTCATTTTTAATTAAATTAGAATATTAGATTATATATTTATACAAAAACTTTTATAAAGTCAAAATCATTACTAACTAGATAAATTATTGTAAAATGGTCCTCTGGTTATGTGATGGTTTAAATGTTAATATTGTCAATTGTTTTTTAGGTATGGGATATACGTGATGGAATGTGTCGTCAAACATTTACTGGTCATGAGTCTGATATAAATGCAGTTTGTGTATGTAAAATTTCATGTTTAATTCATTTGTTCTTAATCTAGTATGTCTATTTTTAGTTGAATGAGTACTTAAAAATATGAAAGAGTACTAAGAATAATTACTAGAAATTAAACTTTCAAAAAATTTCAATCATTGAATATTATATAGAAATTAAGTGAAAAGAATTTAGACATAACCCTTAACTTTTTGATATATATATATATATATATATATATATATATATATATATATATATATATATATATATATATATATATATATATATATATATATATATATATATATATATATATATATATTAGGTTGCCAAATCATTAAGGACACTTTACTTTTTAAGTAATTTTAAGGTATAAACTATTTTAATGAGTAAATACGTATCTTGTAGTTAATTTTTTGTCTTTATTATTAGAGAACTTTATTTAGAATATAAAACAACATAATTACTTGTTCATAGCTATTTATTTCTTATAAAAAGTTTTAACATAACAAATAAGGTAATAATCTTAATATTTTGTAATGCCACTCTTAGCTACAATAACGGCTTTCAGGCATCAGGGCGTGCTTTCTATGTAGACCTTTGCATAGTGTTGGAGACTGGGGTTGCTATGATACTTTCTTATAAGGGTTTCTATTAAATGCTACTTGGTAGTGATGATTTCTTTGATAATTTCCTGTTTTATGAACTCCCATAGATTTTCTATGGGGTTCATATCAGATGAATTCCTTGGCCATGGCAAAACACACACTTTTTATTTATTTAGGAATGCTGTAATACTTCTAGCTCTATGGCATGGTGCTGAGTCGTGCATGAACTATACTGTTCATTACCAGGGAACCAATCTTGGATCTGGGGCAGGAGCCTGTTTTTCAGTACTCGCTTGTACTGGTCCTGCCTCATAGTCCCTTCCACAATGTAAAGGCAGCCCATACCCTTGACTGATATCACAAAATGCACTATTTCACTCACAGGATGTTTAACCTTTTCCAAAAGGCGGTCCTGGTGAAATTTTTCACCTGGGTGTCATCGAACAAATGGGCTTTTGTCCATCAAAATTGAAATGTTGATTTGTTCGAGAAGCAGACCTTTAAAACATTTCAAAGATATTTTTAACTAATAATGTTAAATTTTTCTGGTTTCTTACAATATTATAAATTATATTTACTCTACTCCAGTCTTCAATAATCATATGTTAGTGTTTTCTAGCCTATCCGAGTCACTTTTTTTATCATGTAGTCAGTTAAACGTGGATTTTTATTGGACGACAACCCATTAAATTCTTTTCAGCCAACCTTCTCTGAACCGTCCTTTTGGAGACGTTAATTCCTTCATTGTTTATCGTTGCAGCTAGTTAAACCAAACTTTTTTTGTGTGTTTTTAAGACAGATGTCTGTAATTTTACGGTCACAACGTGGAGTAGTGATCCTTTTTCTGCCTCTTTTGCCGACACAGTCTGGTTCTAGAAGCACATTTGTATCTATTTTTCTTTTAATTTGGCTCACTACTGACTTTGAAATACTTGCAGTTGCTGCTATCTCTTTCTGAGAATGTGTAGAATAAAGGAGTATGGTTTTTACTCGCAACATCTTCTTGGGGTCAAGTCTGGAGACTTGCCCATATTTAAAAAAATCAATGAGAGGTGAGAATGGTTACAAGTCAGGATTTATGCATTAAAATGAGCAAAAATAATTATTAACTAATTGAACTATTAACCAATACTTAGGTTTCAATAGTTCTAAACTGGAAAAACTTGCAAAAAATTGTTGCAAAAATAAATAATTGAAATCAATTTTTATTTCAACCACACTTTTCAACAATTGACAGCTAATTGAGTAATAACCTATCTTTTTGAAAGATAGGGTGGACTGACACAATTGCGACAGTTTAAAAACAATTATAGCTATATTAGTAACTAAAATATACAAAAAAAATTATTTAAAAAACAATTTATTTGCTTGCAAAAATCATTTAAAATTACTTAGAAGATAAAGCGTCCCTAATAATTTGGCAACCCACTGTGCACTGTGTGTGTGTGTGTTTGTGTGTGCGTGTGTGTGTGTGTAATTGAATTCCCTCAGTTTTCTATAGAATTTTGTTGAATTTTTTTTTTTTCTATTTACTTGAAAATCTCAATTTAAATGTTTTTTAAAAAGCATTAGCGTATAATTGCATTCAAAGCGTAATATTAATTGTATGTTATTACAAAATAAAGCAATAGTCCTAAGGTAATGTAGTGGATTTGTGGATAGTTAATTTTAATGCATAGAAATATTTAGTCTTTATTTTTAAAAATAAAGTTCATAATGGGAAAAGCTGAGTAAATAGTCTGTGTCAGTCTCAGAATCAAAATAATTGCAAACAAAAGTAATTGTTAATGTACATACGCAGTTTTATTTTTAATGTTTTACTTGATAAATTTTTATCACAGTTTATAGTATGTATATACACACACACACACACACACGCACATATACTTTTTTTTTTTTGGGGGGGGGGGATGGGAGCTTATATATATTTAAGTATTTACTTTTGGTTAATAAATACATTTTTATTGGCCTAGTATTTATAATTTATATTAGTCGGTTAAATCTAAGCGTTTGAAGTACTAAATTATAAAACTAATTTTAGGAAAACTTATTACTATCAGTTTGATCCGCAATACCTCCTACAAAACCTTATCCTGTTTAATACCAATTTTTCTGTAATATCTTGATTTTTTTTTCCTTTTAGTATTTTCCAAGTGGGTTTGCCTTTGGAACTGGTTCTGATGATGCTACATGCAGACTTTTTGATATCCGATCAGATCAGGTTTGGTCATGTATTTTTATTAATTTACTTATTTATGGTTATTTATTAATCTCAAATGTTAGAGTTTTTATAAGTTAAATTAATCTTTATTAACCGTTTTTTATTATTTTTTTAGGAATTAATGTGCTACTCGCATGATAATATTATTTGCGGAATTACTTCTGTGGCTTTTTCTAAAAGCGGACGCCTGTTACTTGCTGGCTATGATGATTTTAACTGTAATGTTTGGGATACTTTGAAAGGCGAACGTGCTGGTGTTTTAGCAGGTCATGATAATCGTGTAAGTTGTTTAGGAGTGACAGATGATGGAATGGCTGTAGCCACTGGTAGCTGGGATAGCTTTTTGCGTATTTGGAATTAGAACAATTTTCCAATTCTTTCTTCTACAATCACTATGTACATAACCTACTGTTTACACTGATAATTTCCATTATTAAAGACAGTGCAGGTGTTTTGTGTGCAGAATAACATGGCTTTGAGAACAACACAACAGCAACAACAGCAAATGTGAGTTGATAAATAAACATTGGAAGGAACGTCAACTTGATCTCATTCATTAGGTTACAGATGTCTCAATTAGTCTTGTTTAATACTGTTTTTATTTCATATACTCATCTATTCAGTTTTTACTTTTTTTTAAATTTACAGTTTTTCTTAAAAATAAATTTCTAACTAATTGCGCACTTTAAATGGATTTGTGAGATTCTTAAACTTTAAGTGTTAAGCGAAAGAAAAATCTGCTTTTCCGACCTAGATGTCAGTTGTTGCAACTTATAGTAGATTTGATGTATTTCGTCTGGGTTTAATTATTTTTTAGTCAATATAGAATAATTTATGGAGAAAAGAAGATTATTTTTCATTTATTATATCTCATTCCAGTGTAAGCCTCGATTGGGATATTGTGAATGAAAAATTGTTTCTAATAAGTATTTTTATTTACTATTATTGCCATGATTTTCTATATGGTTTTTTCTGATAGATTTTTCTTGTTTTTACTTAAATGTTTTTTTAAACTCGCATATCCACTCATTTAATTGGGTTTATTGATTTAAATAAAATATTCAATACTTAGCAATGATCTAATTTTTTTCTTAATCTTCGGGTTTGTTTTTTTTTTTTGTTTTTTTTTTATATATCGTATTAGTATTTTGTTTTTTGCTGTTTACTTTTTGTTCATAACATTTTTTTTTTTTTTTTTTTTTTTTTCCAATGTTTCACCTAGAATCTATAATCTAAGATAAATTTATACCCTTGAAGATTCGATTTGTTAGAAGATAATGTGCATTGAAATGCTATATTTGCGTGAACGTAAATTCGGTTCAATTAACTAAAATGAAAGCAAAATAAAAACATAATCAACTCTTATTCAGAATCATTATTAAGATTCATGAATATCGCTTCATATTTTAAGTATTAAAAAAAAAATTTTAATTATGGTCCATAAACTTAAAATAAAATTTTTGTGAATTAAGACATCTTTGAAAGACATTACAAAATAAAAATAACTTTACAACTAGTGTCAAAACTTGATTAGTATTTAAGTAATGCTATGTATTACGTAACTGCTGTAGGGTATTAGTTAAATATTTGAAATATTTGAATGACTAGATGTTAATGTTCTTAAACCAAATGCTCTAAAATCAATTATTTACTGAATGTTTTTGATATCTGTTAACCATATCTGATACACGTGGTTTATGGATTGTATCAATATTTTTTACATTTGCAAACTATATTATTTTTCTTCAGAAGTTGAAGATGTTGCAATATGTATAAGAAAGATATTAATGATGGCTTCTGAGTTTGGATATTTAAACAGCAACAACGATAACTTCTGAATATGGATATTTAAACAGGTTTTTGGATTCTTCAACTTTCTTTAAAAATCTCATTAAATTTTTTAGAAATTTAAAATGGATATTACTTTCCGAGCAAGCTTTGATGATTATCTCTAATAATCAATAAAATGTGCTTTTATAAGTAATTTTTGTAATCTCCAATAACGACCCTTATTCCTGTAAGAATTGTTGCTTCGGGTATTGAAATTTCACTGAATTAACACTAATATTTTAGAATCGAATCAACCAGATTTTGAACTATCAAATATATTTCCAAAAGAGAGCAGTCGCGTGTTAACTCTATATAGCAGTTTGCTGCTATATAAACTACCACGAGGGAAAGAAAGTGATCAGCCACGCTCCTGCAGTACATAATACGAACTGTATTAGAGCCTGGGTTATCGCTCACATTTGTCTCATCATAGTTTATCATAGTAATATATCAATATTAGGAATATTTTGTATTGTAACAGATAACTCATTAAAATATGAGCGAACTTACTCTCTATCAATTTCAGCTCTTGATGGTTTTACTTTGTAAACTATTCTGCAGAACAGTAAAGAATTTCACCCAATTAGGGCCAGAGAAGTTGTATTTTTTAAAGCTCAGAACCAATAGGCCCGAGGTTTGATGCCTGCTCTACCCCAATAAGTGACATTGATAAAGAAGGAGGTGTAAACTTCTTAGTTAAATGCTCTTCCGCGGTGCGGTGATAAGGACTTCTGGGAACATTTAAAAAACCACACACACAAAAATAAAAATATACCTACACACAAAAAATAAATATACTTTACAATTGTTCTTATTTGCTAATATTTCATGTCTTAATGTCTTTTTTAACTAGAAATAATTATAATAATTAAAATAATTGTTTCAAACATTAAAAATCACATAAAAATGTCAATTACTGATCTCAAAAAGTGAAAAGTTGTTTTAATTTTTGTGGAAATATGTGTTGGAAGTAACTAAAAACAACTTAAGGTGGTAGTATACCATTAAAAAAATTTTTGCATTTTAACTTTTTTTTCAATTTTTTATAGTGCATAACATATATTAAATGATTAAAATATAAGTAAAAAGTTAAAAAAATTAATTATGCTTATAACTATTGACAGACAAAAGCCTAAAAATGAATAATTGGCGACAGGGTTTTTTCAGCAACCGTAAATAAATTAGAAATGAAATTTTGGCTTGTCATCCTTTACTTATGCAATAACAACATACACTAAAAGTTTTGGATTTTGACCAAAAAAAGTCAAAATATATGCATTTTAGTCATATTTGGAAGTTTTGGTGTTATTTGAGAACACAAAATCACTCACAAAAGTAGAACACAATTAGCTGTAAACATAATTCTAGTAGAGGTTGCAAACACATGTGTTACAAACAAGTGTGCTAAATTTCAGATCAAATCAGTTATCGGTTTGAAAAATATCTCCGTCGCCAGGGTATAAAACATGATTTTGAGAAAAACTCAATTTAAAAATAAAAACAAAAGAAAATTTTTTCAAAACTCCCCACTTCTATAAACTGTACCTTCTAATGTTTCGTTTTGATCTAGTTCTTAGTTTCTTGCGTCTCATTTTCACTATACTTGTGCATTGCTTTTCTGCTTTAGAAATGTGCTTAGAGTCATTTATAAGACAAAAGTTATGTAAATTGCAACCTACTGTTATTTCAAGCTCATCAAATAACGTCTCTAAAAATTGTAGTCCATTATTAAAGTATAGGACAGCTGATGCTACTTTAACACATAAAGCAGTTCTTTCTACAAATATGTCTTTGGGACACCGCTTCCAAATCAATTGATTCAGCGCCTTATTAGGATTCTGTGTTTTGCCGTGCAAACACTTTTGTAAAAGAACATCACTACCAAGATCTATAAATATTAGTTTTATAAAATCCCTCACAGCAGCAGGAATACAAATACTTTCTTTGTATGTTTTTTTTTCAGTTATTTTATCAGCCTGGAATTTGCACCAAGAATCCTAGGTGCGCAAACAAAATTGATGGCGTGTTTCATTGTCATAACTTTCAGAACAGTGAAAAAGAACAGCTGCTTTTCATTGCATATAAACTACTAATAATTTGTTTGATTGCTTTGCCATAGTAATTTTGCAATGTGTTAATAACATTTTCTGTCAAAAGACCTGTTCCTCCTGTTTTTTTTTAAGTTTCTTAAACGCGTGCCAACTCGTTTTTGAATATGACCAATGCACTCTACTTTTTTAATTTCTACATTATGTCCATAAGGTTTAGCAGCAACAACACTGGTATAAGAACTACTATCTCTTTCTCAAAAGTTCGTTGTATCGTTTATATATATATATATATATATATATATATATATATATATATATATATATATATATATATATATATATATATATATATATATATATATATATATATATATATATATATATATATATATATATATATATATATATATATATATATGTTTTGTGTTATAACATGTTTTTCTACTTCCCTTAGGTCTCTAAGTTTTTCTTCACAATGCAAGAAGCATTTTTCAATAGCTAGATAATGTTTATCATTTTGTTTTATAATTGAAACAGTTTCAATATACTTAATAACCATTTTAAAATGCTTTTAAACAATTCACGGTTTTACATATCTTTGAACTTTTCTTTTTAAATTACGCAAGCATTATTGGTTATTGATAGAAATGCCATCTGACTTCTTTTTTAGAAACTAAAAAAAAAAATACAAAAAAAAGTTTTTTAAACTGAAAAACTAATGTATCAAACAGTACAAGAAAGACTAAGTTTATATCAAATTTGATTGAATTAAGTTTCAAGTATTTATTGCGAGTTAGATTTCCACCGGCCATAAACAGCGAAATTAAATCTCTACACACTCGCGGAAAGTGTGGAATTTTCCTCCACACCGGTGTGTAGTTTTCACTCCTAGACACAATTGTGGCTTTATTTTGCGCAATTTTGTGCATATAACTCTACACTTCTGTGCAGAAGTCGAGTTAGAAATAGTTAATTTCCACAAAAGTGAGCAAAATAACTCCACACTTGTGTCAAGGAGTGATAGCTACACACCGGTGTGGAGGAAAACTTCACACTTTCCTCGAGAGTGTACCTTTTAAGTTATAAACAAACTAAAAACACTATAAATATATATTTTTTTATTGGAAATAAATGAAATTAAAACAATTTTATTGCATATATCGATAGAATCTTTCATTATCTTTACACCGATATATAAATTAATATGCTTAAAACAGTATTTACGAAGTAATTAAAATAAACTCAAAATAGGAATTTTAACACAAATTTCTGTCAGTATTAGTTTGAGTCTAATGTTTACTCAACATCCAACTTTTTTTTAAATCCAAACTAATCGGTTTTAGATACTGCTACAAATAAGATATAAAATTGGCATTTAAAGTTTAAAAAAACTAAAACTTGTATTTTATGATATTTAGCCATTTTTTCCTTTGTTAGGCCCCATTGTGCATTGATTAAAATGATGACAAATATTTTTTTACAGAGAAAAATTCCATCAAAAATAAAGGTCTTCAGTGACTTTGCGAAAACAAGGAAGATAAATCTAAAACCACCCGAAATCCCAGCAAAGCAAGGAAAAATAAGTGACATGTTTGCTATGGGCGCAAACAAATGTTTGTCACAGGAAAAGGTTGATAAGCTCATGATCCAATTTATTTGTGACGGTCTTCGTCCATTCATTCATTTTCTTTGGTTGAACAACCAGCTTTTAAAAAACTTTTATTTGTGATGGTCTTCATCCATTTTCTTTGGTTGAACAACCTGCTTTTAAAAAACTTTTATTTGTGATGGTCTTCATTCATTTTTTTTGGTTGAACAACCTGCTTTTAAAAAACTTTTACACGCACTAAATCCGCATTGCAAAGTTATATCCATTCCTTTTTATCCAAATATCCATTCCTCTTTTCAGATCATAATTGATGATGCAGCGATTCAGTTAAAGAAGACTTTGCTCTCAATCCTCAGTAAAGTCAGGTATGTTGCAACAACTACTGATTGCTGGTCTGCACATCAGCAAAGTTTCATAGGGGTAACAGCTCATTGGATTAATGAGGAAACTTTTGAAAAGAAATCTGCCGCACTTGCTTGCCAGAGATTGAGTGGGTTATATATCTTCGATGGCCTGGCAGGCACTCTTGATGACATTCATTGTAAAAACAGAATAAGGGGAAAAGTGGTAGAACCACAACA